TTTTTGCTGTTGCTGTTTTTTTTCTGTACTGGGAATCGAACTCACAACCTTGCACTTGCCAGGAAGGCGCTGTGCCGCTGAGCTACATCCCTAGCCCCCACTGGTAAGTTTTTAATCATGTTTTCAATCCCATTAATTGATATTGGGTTGTTCAGGATTTTTATATCTTCTTGACTCAAGCTTGGTAATTCATATGTATCTAGGAATCTGTCCATTTCTCCTGAGTTTTCTATCCTATGGGGTAAAGATTTTCAAAGTAAGCATTAATGATCTTCTGAATTTCTATAGAATCTATAGTAATTTCATCCTTTTCATTCCTTATTGCATGAATTTGAGTTCTTTCCTTTCTTTTTTTGATAAGGTTGGCTAGGGGTTAAGTAAAATTTTATACTAGAAAAAAGTAAATATTTTAACAGCTATATTTAGTGAAGTCTATATAGAGAATATCCAACTTGTAGGACATTCTGAGCTCACCATTCACTTCAGGTGTTCTGTATCACTGTCTGTGACAGAAAGTAACTGTTAGGTTTCCTCTACATCAGGAACCTAAATAAACAAGTCATGTTGCCATTTCTGCTTTATTGCCTTTCTTCTATTTTGATGGTTCCCTCTTGGAAAGTTCAGGGTGAGTATAAGGGTCCTCCAATTCTTCAAAGATCTATCAGAGAATTTCAAACCACTCTATTTTCCACTCAAAGAACAACTGTGTGAGTTTAGATCCTAAGGAAGGATAAGCAGGGAGCCCAACACAAACTTGGGTCTTAATTCGTAAGTCTTTTTGTTCCATTTCTTTTCCCAAGACAAGGTATTTCTGTATCCCATTCTATGGTTACTCTTTAAATGTATTCATCTGAAATCACTGAGGAACTATTTTAGAAATTAAAATCTGAACATTTTTATGGTTGTTGTTCTAGGATGCTTTATTTCCTCTCACTGAAGCAATGTTGTAAGAATTATTGAGGTTTTGAAATATTTCTTCAAGTAATACACAAGAATGGTTGCAAATGTAAAGTATATTTCATAACATTTCTACAAATATTTTCTGACTACCCTTTGGTGTATGTTTGCATAGGTCATTTTGATAGAAGGTAATCACAAGAAAATAAATTTAAATATAAATGGTTGCTGCTGGGTTAGTTCCTGGGTTGCTTTTTTTCTTTCCTTTCATTTTCTCATGGAATCTATAGAGGGAAGAATTAAATTAATGGGGCATTTGAATCATGCATCAAGGGGGAATCATTCATTAAGGGAGAATCTTCTAGGTGGGAATTGAAATTATCCAAGTAGAAATCTATGAGCACATGGTTCTTTTTGAAAGATAATTGTGCTACCTACTTAAAAAAAAAAAAAAAAAAAGCAGAACAAGATCCAGTTTGGCAAGCAGAACTAACCAAGACTGGGTGTATGAATAATTACTTTCAGAGGATGTGTCTTATAGTACCTCATTTCTCCCCTACCCTTGTACTAGAGATTGAACCCAGAGCCTTTCACTGAGCTATATCACCAGCCCTGTTTTTTAAAATTTTGCGATAGGATCTTGCTAAGTTGCCCAGGCTGGGTTCCAGCTTTTCATCCTCTTGCCTCAACCTCCCTCAGTGCTGGAATTATAGGCACATTCCTCTGTACCCAGTTGCAATAATGCATTTAAATTTCATGTTGTTTTGATTATTTAGGTGTCACTAGAAGAAGAAAAATAGATTATTCTGATGCCGATGTTTTACATGGTGAAGGTTTTAGGACTGTAGCAGCAACAGGATATGAAACTGTCACAGCCATGACTGAACTGGCCGTCGTAAACTGCCAAATGTATGGAAGAAATGCACTTAATCTTAAGGTATGTCTGATCATTTTAGTGGTACTGGCCTGTTGTGTTATCAGTTACAGTAGTTTTACTTTCAGTCTCCTACCATAGGTTAGTTTTCATGATATTGCAGGAGTCTTTCCTATTGAAAGGGAGATTTTCAAGGAACACATTAAAAATCTGTTTTAATTTATTTTTATCCCAGCAAATTTAAAAAGATACTCAGATCCAAAACAGTTACAGTGTGTTTTTCATTATTTAGCATGATAAGAGAGGTGTGATTCAGAAAGATGTATCTTATATTTCAGTAATCAGCAATCTTTGGACTTTGTGTCAATTTTAGTGCTAGATTAGCTTTTTATTGGATACAAGCCAAGTATGACAAATAATAATACTAATCACCACTTACTAAATACCTACTATGGTCCAAGCAAATGTACCTAAATGTACAATTCTGCAAAGTAGGTGTTCTTCATTTTACAGATGAAAACACTAATGCTCAATGCAACCAAATTGCAAAGACCACACAATAAGCAAGTCACAGAGCTTAGATTTGAACCCAGAGCTCTTTAGCCCTCAAAGTCTATGTATTTGCTTTATTTTAAAACAAAACCCAATTGGGACAATTTTGAAAGTGCCACATATTAGCCAAAGTAAAGTATGCACTAGTGTTTCTGTTAGATTCAGGGGTAAATCTAAGTCTATCTTCGTTCACATTCAAATCCCTAACCAAGAATAGTTCACCATGTGCCTTAATTATTTTCTTGTTGCTGAGACACAGTACCTCACACCCAAAGTTTAGGGGAGGAAAGGTTTATTTAGCTCACAGTTTGTAGAGGTTTCAGTTGATAATCAGCTGCCTCCAAAGCAGGGTGGCACATGGCAGAGGGGCAACAGTTCATGATGGACAAAAGGTAGCAAAGCAACAAGGGACCTTAACAGTGTCTTTATGCCCCTTTTATTTTATCCAGACTACTTAGGGCAGATAGCGCACACACCCTTAATCCTAGCATTGCACCATCCTAGCCCTTGATCCTAGCATTGCACCATGAATCTTGTGTGCAGCATATTGTTGGATCGTGCTTCTTGATCCATTCTGCCAGTCTGTGTCTTTTGATGTGCACCATGAACCAATCCCAGCATCACACACTCTAGATCCAGCCACCTCTGAAAAAGCTCACCTATGACTGCATGAGGCTTTGGGAGGACATCTAAACACAAGCCCTAACACCATGTAATGTATTTTATAACCCCAGCGGCACCTCTCTATTGGCACATATCTGGCTCAGAAGAACACTGAGTTTACTGAACACTTTTTTGAATAATTTGGCAACTGTCTTGGCTACAACAGAAAACAACCTATTACCTTCCCAAGAATTCAGCTTTCCATCCCCCACTCCCTGGTCAATGAGAATTGCAGTTTTCAGAATTTCACCTCTCAGGATTTCAATATTCTAGATTTTCATCTTTCAAGATTCTTATTTTGGGAATTTTGATCTCTAGATATTTTAGCTTTTTGGGATTTCCATCTTTTAGAATTTCAACACTTGGGAATTATCCCTTGCAGAATTATGATTAGCACTGACAAGAAAGCCACTATAACTCATATGCAAATTTAGCAAAGTTATAGTAAGATCAACACACAAAATCTGTGTATTTCTGTACAGCTGCAAAGAAAATTAAGGTAATTCCATTTACACTAGCATCCAACAAAAAAATGGACAAAACATATGAATAGGTAGTTCACTGAAACAGACTACCCTTACAAATATGAAAAGCTGCTTGACCTTACTCTAAGAACAATGCACTGTAAAACTACACAGAGAGATTGAGGGTGTAGCTCTGTGGTGGAGCACTGGGCTGGCATGCTAGAGGCCCTAGATTTGACTTTCCAGCACCAAAAAAGCCAAAGCAAAGTGAAACAGAAATACAAACAAACAAAAATCCCACAACCTACATAGCAATATAATTTCTCCCTTTATGGCTCGGGAAAAAATTGATAATGTATCTTACTGTTGAAGTTGGAATATTGCTGCTAGAAATTCAAAACAGTACACCCCTATGGAGAAAATCTATTGTTAAAAATTTATATCTTACCTCATATTACTTTCTTTCAGGGATTTTTTATCATGAATTGTCCAGACTTAACACCTTTGGCTTCCCAACTGGTGTATCTTAATTTATCATTCAATGATTTCTGTAACTTTCCCGCAGAAGTAAGTCCATCTTTATTATTGTATATATGTGGCTATAATTTATTATTGTGAATAATTGCAATAAATAAGCATCTTATAATACCCTGAACTTACTATAAAGTAAGTACATCTTTGGATTACATCCAAAAAGAACTACTTATAGAGGCATAAAAAGTAAAGAACAGTTTTCTTAGGAAATCCCATGATGTAATTCTCAAAGGCTATGTTGGAGTCAAGCTCTCAAATATATTCTGATAATTGTACAATGTACAAAAACTAATTTTCTCTTTTAACTCTGAAAAAAACTAAGATAAACTTATTAATTTGTTAATCCTAATAGATTGTTAAATTAAATTAAAAACAAAAACAAAGTTTACCAATGTGTTATCTATAGAAGATGTACTTAAGGTTGAAAGCTACAAAGGGATTGAAAATAAAAGTATGAGAAAAGATATATCATGTAAACATCCATAATCTAGAGTGACCAAAATATACCAGACAAAATAGATTTTAAAACAAAAATGTTACTGAGAAAAGAGGGACATTTTATCAGTCTATCAGGGTGCTGTAATATTAACTTGAACAACCCTATAACACATTTAGAACTAACAACACCTATCTATGAAACACTCCAGAAAGCACAACAGAATGTGCAATCCTCAAAATTTGTATAGAATGTTTTCTAAGACAGATCATATATTAGGCCCTGAAACAAGTCTCTATAATTTAGAAGGATTTAAAATCACAGGGATTTTTTTCTATAGTGGAATGAAATTAGAAATTAAAAACTGAAAGAAATTTAAAAACTCAGCAATGTTTGGAAATTAAGCAGCTCACACTTAGCCATGAAAGAAAAGTACAGGACTAGATGATTTCATGGGTGAATTCTACCAATCATCTAAAACAGAATTAAACTAATCCTTCATAAACTCTCCCCCCAAAAAGAAACAGAAGAGAGACTATTTCCCATTTCAAACCATTAAACGAGTAATAAGTTGATATCAAAACTAGACAAAGATATAACAAAAGTAACTATAGAAAAATATCTTTTATGACTATAGACTAAAAGTTCTCAAAAAATTCTATCAGAACAAATTCAGCAACAAGAAAACTAATTTAGATCAATAACAAAGTGAGGTTTATCTCCAGTTGATTTAACATGGGAAAATCAATATAATTTACTGAGGTGAAGAGATTTTTCTAAAAAAACTATCCAATTATCTTAATAGACACACACAAAAAAACATATCTGGAACAACTCAACACCCCTTTATGACAAAAGTACTCCACATCTAAGAATAAAAGGGACTTTCTCAATCTGATAAAAGATGTTCACACAACACACACACACACAAACATAAACATACACAATTAATACCATATTTGATGGTGAAAAACTGAAAGCTTTCCTCCTAAATCAGGAACAAGATAAGGATATCTATTATGGCCAGTTTTAATCAACACTGCAAACTGGAATAGCAAGCTAAGATGATGATTAAAAAAAGAGAGAGAGAAGAAAGAAATAAAAGGCATCTAACTTAAAAAGAAAAGAATATTATTTGTTGCTACACATTATATAAATGTATTGAATTACCATAATTAGTTATGATAATAATTACATAATTATCTCATGAAGATATGCAAATATTACATCTATTTTTTCTTTTTCTTTTTTTTTAGATTTATTTTAAAAATAAAAGAAGGAAAACATATTAACAAACAGACATCCATTTACAAAATAGCATGAGAACAATACAAGCAATACTGAATTACAGACAAAGTGGTAGGAAATTAACAATGGTTTTGTATTACATACTGATATCTTCAAAGTGATTTCTCAGGAAAACAAATATAGATGTGCAAGATTGGTCAAATAATTACATGTGAATTTAATAATCCTTTGTGATTATGTTAAAAAGTTGAAGTTATATTTTTAAATGTTAATAAAAAATGAGAAAAGGTAAAACTATCTCTAATTGCAGATAACATGATCTGGCATACAGAAATACTAAACCACCAGCATACTACTAGAACTAATGAATGGTTTCTGCAAGGCTGCAGTATAGAAGCTCAATATACAAAAATCAATTTTATTTCTGTATACTAGAAACAAGCAACTTGATAATAAGAAGCACTTCAATTTTAGTAGTATGAAAATGAATAGTATATTTAGGAGTAAGCTTAACAGAAGTGTAAAACTTGCAGTGTGAAGTGTCAACATTATTGAAAGAAATTAAACATGTAGAGGTTGAAAAACACGTCATGTTCATGGAACTCAAGACTTCATATGATCACATGATATTATGGGCAAATTAATCTATAGATTCATTACAATCATATGAAAATTATAGTATCTTTTTGTTTGCATAATTTTATAAGATGATACTAAAATTTATGAAAAGAAAGGGTCTCTAACAAGCCAAAACAATTTTGAAAAGAAAAACAACCTTAGAAATTTAGGAATTTGCTACTTTAGTATTCCATTCATGTTTGTTTCTCTTTTCTGTTCTTCAGATATTTTGTCTTAAAAATTTACAAGTACTGAAACTGAGAAATAATCCTATCAGAGCAATTCCTTCTGATATTCAACAACTTAAGTTCCTTAGAATTTTCAGCATTGCCTTTAATTTCATTTCTGATCTTCCATTTGGGTAAGACTGGTTGCCTGGGATTATAGACACAGAAAATAAGGAGTTTATAATTTAATAATCAACTTTCCTTTGAAAGCAGCTACAAACTTGTTGGCTATTTAGTAATTCATATGTTCTAATCAGCTGATTTTCTTCTTGTCATGGTATTAAAAATAACCCTAACAGCTACATAGGTGGCAATTAGCATAGGTCTAGTGTATACATATTTAGAAAGCTGTTATCTGAGTGTGGATCAAATAAACCTGGATCATTTAAAGCAGTTCAGGTGAGTACCTGTACTTCTCCCTTGACATCCTTTTTTGGGTATGGAAAGAGAACTAAGCTTGGAATTAGGAAATCTAGACCTTTGACTTTAAAGTTAATAATAATTATCTATTTTATCTGCAGAAAATAACTTGAGCATTCTTGGCCTCAATCTATAAACTAAGTAGATTGGACTACATGACGTCTAAGATGTGATGACCTCTACTAAGAATGCTGATATTTTGGGTATAGAGATGAGCTTCTTCCCATATGTGAATTGTTATTTGTTTAATTTCTGATAAAAACTTTAAACCAAAAGCTTAAAAAAGACACTTCTTTCAATTTAGAGTTCAACAGATTAAATGTATATTAAGGTCATATACACAGAGTTCACCGAAAAATGTATGCACACTTCAGAAAAAGAAAAATGATGAATATTTGGAAGCTAGTGGCCACCTCTTTGAACTCTTATAATTCTTATAGTTGTGAATTCTTATAATTGAATTCTTATAATTCTTATAATTATAATTCTCTTTGAATTTTTATAATTCTTATAATTATAATTCTTTGAATTCTTATAACTCTTATAATTGTGGAGGCCAAAGATAACTTATATTACCCTCATGATGTCTCAGTAAATTTAGTGTTAAAATATTTGTACAGGTTTTTCTTTTCCTGAAGTGTGCACACATATTTTGGCAGACTATTTGTATGTCTGCATGTGTATACATATATCCATATCTGTATATACACACATATCCACACATGCATTATACATACATCCATACAACCACATGTGTATACATATATATGTAAAATTATATATACTCTATCTGGCTTCATATGTAGATGCATACACAGAATCCAAACAAGAATTCATACTGGCTAATCTATAATCATAATTATATACTTTAATCATAACTGTCACTTAAAATATAAAAATCCCTAAAGCACCTAAAATTTGATCATAATTAAGAAGTCAGCATTTTGTTCATTTTTCATAGGCTTATCAAGTTATTGGTTACATGAAAAATATAAGGTATTTGTCAATAATATTGATGCTTATAAAAGAAATCACTTTAGTTTTTATTTTTATTTATTTATTTTTTTGCTGTGTCATATAAATTTATTAAGTATTTTTTTTAATTTTTATTTTAAAGATAAAAGGAGGGAAACATTAACAGACATACAACATTTTACAACATATCA